ATATGCGAGGCAACAAAAACACGTCACAGCTGATTGCAAATTGCGTTTTGAAATTGCTTTTGCTTTTTGCGTGCTTCATTTTCTTTACACTTTTTTATAAAAATATTTCACTATGCCAATCGCGTGCCATTTAATGGATAACATCACTTATTTGTGTTCGCGGCTCATTTTTCTGCTTTGTTTTGAAAGTCCATCAATATTGATCGTTAGAAAAAAAAGAGAGTCAAGAGCGAGATATGCAGCGCAACCTACATGTCTTAACACATTACAGCCGCTGAAATTAAAGATGACGAAGTCGGCAGCCCAGAGAAACCGGGAAACCGCCCAAAACAGCTATGCTGACGCCTTAAGTAAACTCTAAAGATTTTTTTTATGCCAGAGAAATTGACTGACAACCCGAAAGTTATAATTTATAAGGTTGCCAAAGGTTGGGAGAAGCAATTGGTATTCTCCCGAGTCTCTTTCAAACCGGCAGTACTAAAAGCAGATTGAGCTGACGACCAGAACTAGAGATGAAAACACATAACAATACCGTACAAAAATTCCCTTGCGGGTTAGAGGCTCAAGAATTTACCTGTGGTAAGACACGTGTGTCGTAAGTCGCCTCTTATCCAATACTACCCGTGACAGATCGCATAAACGGCTGAAAAAGAAGCCAAACTACCATTAAAACTTCTTAAAAGATTTCCTCGCCAAATAAGTTCGAGTTGATACTCAATGAAACAATGAATACCAAATGCTTTTCGACTCGGAGAAGAAAACGGGGCGAGAAAAATTACCTCGAACATGGAACCCAGATCAAACTTTATCATGCGATTATGTTTTCAGCGGTTATATGACTTTACATAGCCCCAGAGGATCTAAATATTACTTCGACGCAAGAATAATGCACCTATAAAGGTTGCTATTTGTAAGCTAAGATCTGGTAGCAGTTCTATAATGACACTTGGGACAAATTAGGCATAAGTTCCGACTACATCTGCCGCCACTGCAAAATGTAGCGGAAATCAAGAATCAGCAGCAAGAAGATTAGTAGAACACCTAGGAGCTTTATAGCCTGTGAGAATCACATGACGTCCCTAAAGCTTACAGAATTCCTTAAGACACTGGGACTATAAGAAGAAGTAAAGAGAGCAGAATAGACTTACTTAATACTGCAGATGCTTTTCATTTACTCTCTATATATCTAGGCAGCAATAATTTATTTCTTATCGTTAATTTATTTCTTATCGTGAATATTATAGTCGATAACAAAAGAATTTTTGCAATTATTACCGAAAATTATGTAGGCATATTATAAAAAAAGACTCGCTGTTAATAGTAAACTTCATAAAATTTGACCTACTGTATAACCGTTAAATGCAAAAATTTCAATAAAGATAAAAGCAATACATTATGAGTCAAATTCGCACTTATACTCCCTAGTAATGACTCAGTTGTTGGAAATCAGTCAATCAACTGAACACGTTGAACTCATGCGCACTATGAAATTCCAGAGTTTCTGGGTCAAAAAAAAAAAATAAAAAATAAAAAAAAGCGCAGCGAATTGTATTTACACAGTCGCTGATCACTTGCGTGGATCACGTTTAACGCCGAACGTTAATAAGGTGAATGAGAAAAATTGAAAAAACGAAATGTCCGTTATACATACATATGTCTAATTGACTATATATATAATACTAATGAAACAAATTACCGTGGAAAGCAATAATAGATGATGAAAAATAATGAACATTGAAATAATGGTGAAAAACAAAACAAACCAGCGGAAAAAACAATCAACAACAAAAGTGCGCCTTATAGCAGAGTCAAAAAAAAAAAAAAAATCAATTTGTAAGCTTTGCTGGATTGATGGTCACACAAACGTGGGGTGTGTGCTTGCGCTCTATATTTTAATGAATCAATTATTTCTATTGTTAGGAATATCAACAAATTGAATATTGTGTTGTAATTGAATTTTTGTAATGCAATAAATTGCAGAAGCGCAACGAATTTGTAAACGATCAAAGACGAGAAAAATAAATCAACGAATTTATTATTAAAACAAGTAAGATAATTTCTAATAGTGAAGCATATGATGTGATGTCAGATCATATGTGTGATATCACATCGCATGTATGGTGTGATGTGACATAGTGACATCAAATAAAATAATATTCGGGGCGGAAATATATTTTCTATTTTCATAGTAGTTCAGCTTAACGATATGCTGTCCATAAAAATTTGGTCTTTCTTATTAGATTTTTTTTGGAGTCTAATAGTTCTTAAGCTTATGCTATAATTTATATACATTTTTAATTGTTTTTTTATTTTTTTGATGTTTTACAGCCAAAATTTGATTAAGTTGAAGTGAAGCGTACTCGAAAAACATGTTATTTGTTGATATTTCAATTCAAACCAGTTCAAATAAGATTTTTTTGTCAAATAAAATGAAATTTATATTTTAATTAAATTTTTTTAAAATAATAATGTATATTTGTTTATAAGTATAGAAATTATTTATTACTCTTCGACAATGCATAGCTGAGGACTTTCACTTTTTCGTCTATAAAATAAAGAATAGACACCACGAGTCATAATTTATGCTCTTTTACACATTAATATGCAATGGAGCGCACAAGCAACATTTAATGTTTTCTTATTAACAAGAAATATTGCTGACTCAAGTGCATGCAACACGAAGCCTTTCGTAGCTTTGATACACGTATTGCAGTAACTGTAATTGTAGTAAAAAACATGGTATGAAAAATAAAATAATAAATAATTTTTAAGAAATTTGAAAAAAAAGTGAATTTTGCTTTTTTTGCAATTATTTTCATTTACCACACGAATTGACTACCACACGTAGCATTGTTGCAACACATGCAATGGGTAATGGAAAAAAATGAAAGTGGATTTCGGCATTGATTTTAGGTGGTGTCTTTATAGTCAACTAACTATGTATGTAGTACAAATGTATGTACGTACATATGTATGTATGGCTGAGTAAGTGAAAACCGGACAAGGTAAGCGAAGCATTAATGAAATTCGATGGTAAAATAAGACGGTCTTACAAGAAATCATTGACTGCAGGTACATTTGTATGTACATACGTATGTAAAGGGTAAGTACAAATGTTATACGCGTTGAGAAAATATTCATAATAACGTAAATTCATTTTTTATTTTCAATTAAATTAAGCCTCACGTTTACCGTCCAATTTTTCTAAAAAATATCATGTCATCATAATCCGTTGTAACAATAATAACAACAAATAGTTATGCCCATTTTCAAATGAGAACCAGCAAAAGAAAAACCATTTACGGTTAATTAAAATTAAGATAGAAAAGTGTTCAATGAAAAAAATCAACGTCATTTTCTTAATAATATAAAATTATTCAAATAGAATTGGGAGGATGGTTCAGCAACCAAAAGGAAGTAAATAAATAAAAAAAAATTTATTTCCTTCTACATAAATTTATAAGATAGATGTGATATATGTACGTAATGGGTATATGAGTATGCTAAAAATAAATAAATAAAATAAAAGCCTATTTTTCAAAAAAAAAGTCTGCTCTACCAAAAGTCGAATTTGTGAAAAAAAAACTAAATATATAACATAAATACCAGCTTACAACCAAAGCTGACACTTCAGTGCCCAACATACAACAACCCAAAAACGTAATAGATGATTTGAGCTGAGACAACAAGCAACAAGTAGTTTCTAGCACTTTGTAATTTTAAGACAACTGGTTGGTAAAGAAGAGGGTCATCGGCTGGCAGCCAACACTTCATCAATTTGGTTATACCGGTTTTTGAAAATTGCGCGACTATCACATTATTTGTATCTCTGCCATTTCCACGTGCGACGGAAATCAAGTTTGGAATAAATAAATCAAATAACTACCTAAACAAATACATACTTAGGTACATACTCGTACAATGTTAATGGTCTCTATACCAACGTTAACTCAATGACGTCTCCACTACGGCAAAGACAATAAAGGAAATGTGTAGCCGAAGTGATGTTTTCGTTGTCGTTTAGAGGGAAATTTTGCTTGATCGCGTAAAAAAGAGAAAGGCATTTACCTTTGACAAGACATCAACTACCCACCGCGCATTGATCGTACGCCTGGCTAACAAAGGAAATGCATGCAATGAAGCGTTCAGTGATCTCTGGAAAGCGTAGTAATAAAAAAAAAAAATAAATAATAATATATATTTAAGTAAGTGTTATGTGTAGTCGAAACAAAGAGATCTCTCCTCTCAATAGATGTTAGTAATTTAAGGAAACAATACCAAATGATGAAATGGGGTTGAGCTCTTTTTGATAGCTTCTCCTTTAACAGCTCAAAATCGAATAGTTATTTGTTTGTATATATAGCACCCATTTTACAGTACGTTGTGTAAATGCTCATTCCTCTAGTACGGATACTGATATTATTATTGGATGGAATGGGAATGGTAAAGGCAATCTCCACTCTTCCTAGCGTTCTGTACTTTTAAATCTACAGTACAATGGCTCCAAAACATACAATTAGTTTCATTACTGCAATTTCAAATTTTAAAATTGCATTTTGATCTTTTATTCTGCGCATAGCACATTTTAATGAAGCTAATTTGATTCTTCCATCATTTTTTTTTATAAAAAAACAAGTAATGTCAAACACTGCACACTAGAAAACAATTGATTTGAGGGCCTTTTCCCGCTAAGTGTATTCAATGTCCAATTGGAACACGAAAGTCGATTCAAACTCATGCTCAGCACAAGTCTAATTAGACACGCGACCAACAGTTGCTTTCATATTTGATACCCCTTGAAAATAAATGAAAATAAAAATTTTTGTTTTGCTTATGCACATCCAAATATGTGCACGCTTTTTTGTTGTGATATTTTCCTACTTCCCTATTCCACTAATATCGCGCACGAATAATAGACCCACAGTAATAACAAAGTAATAATTCGCACACTTAAAAGAGCAATAACAAACACATTCTACAGTTGTTTTTACGAAACTTACGGCAGAGCTTTCTTCTTTATTCTCTTCAGTTATTTACTTTTATCGAAATATCACTTTTCCCACAATGTTTGAAATTATTTGCACTTTTTAAGGGATTGTATGAACAATAAAGTTTGATAATTCCAAGCAAAAAAAATTTGCACGCAGTCAGTGACAGTCGAGAAAGTCCCGTAACCTGATTTTTTGCAAAAGCTAGCACAACTCGTGTTTACATAGTTAAGTATACGTATCTATAAATGCACATACATATGTATGTAAATACATATAAATGGCGGCAGCAATTTCCGACAGAGCTTTCCGCAACAACACCTCCAACACCAATAAGATTTTTAAGCACTTCTTGTTTGAGAATATAACTGAGTTTCCTTTGTAATCACTTACGATTTTAAAGAATTGTTGTATTGCGAAAATTAGGTTTACGAGAGCGTATTGGCGAGCAAATAAAATATTCAAGCGAACGAAACGAAGGCAAAAAGCAAACAGTTGAAAGCGCCAATTACAATAAATGTCGATGGTAAGCCCCCAAGTATATCGTCTGGCAGTGGCAGCGCAGTCAACGTCTGACACCTGATCAACTGTGTGCCAACAGTGCAGAAAACAAGAAGAAAAAGCACAGAGTTGCAATTACGATTTTCAATTCTACGCGGTTTCATATAGGGGCAGCACATATTGTGCTTTACTTTCAGCTCCACCCAAGTTAAGCATCAAACTTTAATTAATTAAATCTATTTTTTTATTTAATTATCGGGAGTGAAGAAATTTTGTTGGAAATTTTCTTAAATTATACATTGTGTTTGCAACACTGAAAATAAGAGAGACCACCAATAAGAAACAAATACATACCGCCAGCAAGGCGCCTTTTGCTGTGTACATGACTGCAAGCGCTAGCTAGACAAGTATGCCTCTGATAATGCGATAGAATAGATACACACGATATGTAGGCAATTCAAGTTCAGGAAATTTTTTATTTGCCCCAAAAAGTATGCAATACTTTATATTTGCATTATAATAAACGAATGCAGCGGTTTCATCACATATTAATTAACACTTGCATTAAGGTAATTATCCACTATATACAATAAAATTATTTACTTTGCACAAGCAATTTTCTTTAGACACTTCTTTTTTGTATGTATACAGTCTTCTACATTTCTTAAACTAATCGTTAATACGCACAGCGACCTCGACTACTTGTGCTTATGCGGAAGTACTCACCACTACTGTTGAATTGCATTAGTGCGGAAGTGGCGAATATTCTCACACCAATGAAATGTCGTTAAGTGGTATGTTCAGTGCATGGCTGTGCTGAATTTATACCCGTAAAGTTATGAAATAAGCATTTTACGAAGAGTAAAATAACATTTAGTTATTTAGTTAATAAAACATTCTAAATTAACAAAGATAAGATGCGGCACTGCGTTATTGAAGTATTTTATATATTTTTTCGTTTTCATCTATGTATATTTTCCAATTAAAAGTATTTGGCATTCATGGACATCTGGAATATATTTTGTTTTTAAATAATTTATTTATGTTTTTGTCAAAAAATATATTTTTCTGAAATGACGATTGGTAGTCGTCAACCGCTGCTTTATTTCTTACTGCTCATTATATTGCTGCAGTGGTCCCAGGGTATGGAAGACAATGCTGATGGAACTTACAGCAACAATAACAACAATTATGACGACACATTTTATCAAGATATGAACTATTACGATACGTTAGCCAATTCAATTAATTTCGATGTCGATAAAGCGCTATTGCAACAGAAAATTAATGATCAAGAACAAATCGAAACGGAACAAGGCGAACCAATGCAACCATTTGATGGTTTACAAATCGACGCCGATAAAGAGCAGGATATGTTGCAAAACAAAGATATCTCACAACAGTTACTGGTACGAGAGGTGCCAGAGTTTCGAGTAGTTAATCGTAAACGCGAAACAGGTGAGAACGGTAACTTGCAACATCAAGATGAGGAACAGAGGGTGGCCTACACCTGTCATGCACAAACGCCTGAGCAACAAGCGTGTTTAGATGCAGCGGTGAAGGACACTAAAGATACAATTGAGCATGTAACATGCTTGATAAAACGCATGCGAGAACATGCCGTGGCCATTGTTAAGGAGGTCAACGAATTGGAGGGAGATTTTCTGGGCGCTTGTCGGGACGAACGACCCAAACTCGTTTGTCGAAAACGACCGCCAAGTAGGGGTAAATGTAGAGGTCATGCTGCTGTAGCTGAGGAAGAAACTGGCGGTGTTGGATACATAGATGGCGTAAGTGGTTTCAAACGTATCTATGATGAAACCGCACACGCGATTAATAGTAATCAGAATAATCAGAATGATAATGAAAACATGAACAGCGCCGCAGCAATGAATGAACAAGGTAACGAAAATAATAACGGTAATGAAAGCAGTGGAAACAGTCAAAATGTCAATACGAATACCAACTCAAGGCCGAATTCAAAAGGCGCACCCACAAAACCACGCATAGTTGTCAATGAATTTGCTATACCCATGAAAACGGACATATCAGATCTGCCGCCTAATGAATTCATGGAACAGGCACAATACGCCGTACATGCTTGGAAGAATCAGATCGAAGAATGCAAACGTCTGTTGGACGAGGCGATGCTACGTGCAACACAGCACAGTTCCGGCGATGGTGTCGATAGTCCCAACACGAGTGTTCAGCATATTATCAAAATTGTTAGAACGCCCGAAGAGGCAGAGGGCGCACATGAAGATGATGCCGCACCAGCAGCAGCGGCATCAATCACACCCGTGCGTTGCAGCAACTTCAAAGAATGCTGTTTAACTAATAAAAATACTGATAACAACATTAACAATGATACTCCATTTGCATTGAATAACGCGCGTAGGTCCGGTATTGCAGCCTTAACGAGTGACAAAATAAACGACGAAAAACTTAACACTTCGAATGATGTTGCCGCGAAAGCTGTGCATGGCGATAACAATAATGATGCTGATATCGATACCGATAACGAAATGAACGATAGCAATAATAATAACAAACGCAACGAAGGTTCGAAAAGGTGTCGCAGTGAGGGCAAAAAACATAGATCTTTACCGCCACTATTGAGTGTGTTGCAGGGCATGGGTTTTTGATGTAATAATTAGGTCTTATATTTTCTATTTTTTACTTTTTAAATATTTTCGTTTAGCGTGATCTAATGTGTTTATTTTCGATTTTTTTTAACAATATTTATAATAAAATTTTACATATCCTAAATATTTAACAAAACCTGATTTGATCTCCTATTTCGAATAAATCTAGTAAAACAATAAAAAAATTAAGCATAAGAGGAATGCTTCCTGCCAAAAATATTCCTCTTCTGAATGAAACAAAAATTGATTCTAATACATACTCGTACATACAAATTTAGGGATGCTGAGTTGGGAAAAGAAAGGTGTTATTCCCTGTTGATACTTTGTAGTATTAGATGTAGCTTCTCACCTTAAAACGCAGAAACACATGATGGCGTGATAAAACTTTAGTGTATCCTTATTCGTTGATTTTTCACAAGATCTTTGCGCTCCTTAAGTCCATGAAGCCATTAAATTTCGTTCAAATCTATCTCCGTGCCCTCTCATAAATTTCATTGCACTGAGTTGACAACTCTAACTCATATTTTCTGATCGGTCGCCTGTCGAGTGACTCTTTCGGCAATCTCAACAACTTCTAAGTTCTTCACAATTCCTTCGTGGCCCAAAATCGAAAAGATATGTATTTCTTCCCTTGCATTCTTTCTATCTCTGCTTTCTTGCTCTTTCTATCGACGTATGTTTTTGTTTTTATTATTGCTCCCCGCGTTTTTGGCTAGCTCACCGACTTTCCATAGGGCGAAAATCGCTTTTTGTTATTTGTATATGCAGTGCATCCGTTTTCACCGTGTTGTAGTTGTTGTTGTTGTTGTTGTTGTTGTAACCGCAAAATTATTCCCCAAAGTACTTTTTGGGGACTATTGCGGGAGTGACAGTCCTTGGCCGGATAAAAATCCGGGTCGTTCCGGTATAAAGACCCGACTGTCGCGGGAACTATTGGATTTTAGTCGCCTCTTACGACAGGCATGCCTTACCGCGGGTAAATTCTTGAGCCCCTAACCCGCAGGGGTTTCGTTTATATGCCTGCTTGCTGTCTTAATTAACTCTGGGATACTTTGTGCTTCTTTTTACCAAGAAATTTTTTACTCTCTAGGGAAGAGTACTATGTACTTCCAAGTTGACTGATGTTGCGCCTCAACGTATACATATATCTTAGTGTGCTCTTCATCAAGTTACTAATTCAGTGATTTTTCCGTCATTGATATCTAGCCTTGGTGACACTTCACATTCAAAATTATTCAGAAGCTCGTTTGCTAAAAGACTCCACAAAGTCAGGGAACAAAATTAAATTGGAATATTTCACTTTAGCAAATTAATTATCATTTTCTGCTCAGAATTTTCTTCAATTAAATTTTATTATTTCACGCCATAGCGAATTCTATAAACAATTTTAGAACTATAGTCTTATATTTAATAACTTATGAGCCTTGAAAGCTCTTAAAAAGGCAATTCATACTTTGTTATTAACCTAATTCTTTTGTTTTCATATTTTTTACTAACTATATTACATGCAAACAAAGATATGTGTGTTCATAAATACTTCAAAAGTAATAATACTCTTTAGTCAACAACCGTAATAAAGGAATTAGGACACCACTTTTATTGCAAAATTGTTACCATTCTCTACCATTTGTCCTAGAACATTCATACTCTCATATACGTATATGTACAGATATACATATATTTAAGATATACATATATTTAAGCGTTTGTTGTCGAAATGAAGGTAAGACCATTGGGAAGTGGCCCGTTACTAACACGCCACGTGGTAATTAAGCTTTAATATTAACACTTTCATTGCTTGTTCATATGTGCTTTACATACATACGTGTACTCGTATGCGTGAATGCGTGTCTATGTAAGAGTGCAAAAGTTTCTTAATGATTTTATGCATTTTGTTGTTATATTTGGGAAATTCCTCAGTTGGCATGTGTCAGGAATACGCTGATGCAATTCAAGTACAAAAACAAAAACTTTGAAAAGTTTTGCTGGAAGACTGAAATTATGCTTGTGGAGAAAAATGCTGCCAGATGATACGGTTGATTTATCAGACAGACCTCGCTGGTAGTTTAATTTTTAATTTTTTTTTCTGGACCCGTGATTTTCAATGAGACAATACCTTTTACGGAGCTGGCGTTTTTGGCGCCTGTTAGTTGATTTACACTCTCTATGGTTTGGCATTTAAACTATTCACGTTTATATATTGGGTCGAGCGACTCGGTTCGAGAGGCCCTGAAGATGCTATTGCTGCCGTGGATCTTGGTTTGAGGGCTTCCAATATTGAACTTGTGCAAGAATTGGAACAACCGGACGGCCATCAAGCGCATCGCAGGTTAGGTGAGTGAAACCAAAATGAAATGGCCCCCGATACCTGATTTTCAAAATAAAATTTTATTCACCAATAAAGCTCACTTTTCGTTAAATGGGTACGTTAATAAACAAGATTGTTGCATTTGGAGTGATGATAATTCATAAGCCATTGTTGAGACGCCGTTACAACGACGTTAGTCACTTTTTGGTATGCTCTATGGGCCTATATATCTTTCAAAATGAAGTCGGCGATAATGTTATAGCCGAAGGGGACCGCCATAGGGCCAGAATTAATGACTTTTTCGTGACCGAGCTGAAGATTAGGTTGGCTCTCACAGTCAGTCAGTCTTCTCCACTTTGCAACAAAACCGGTTCGAGATCAATACGCTCAGAACTGTCGACGCGACAACCTGCTTCTTAAAGCATGCCAATTCAGACTTTCGCCAAGTGCGAAATACAGCGCGTCATCCATTAACTCGTTTGGAAGGAATAAGCTGCGCTTGTGACTTATAAATAGTTGAAAACTGCATATGGAGGACTATTCAGAACATTAGGAGCAGTGTGTTGACAAAAGAATTCTGCCTGCTGCAAGATAATACCAGAAGACACACTGCCAACGCTACAAAGGAACTATTCGCCTCGCTTAAATGGGGTGTCTGGAACCATACCGCGCATTCTCCTGATCTAGGACATGGATTGAAAAAAAAGAAATTCATCAGATCAGGAGATAAAGGAGAAGATGGAGAAGTGAACAAAGGTGTTGGCGGCACATTTTTTCGAGGAAGGTATATAAAAATTGATGACCCGCTTCAGCAATTTGCATTTCTCTTAGTTTTCTTCTTTTAGTAAAGCGGTTAATGACCGTTTTGGTTGGATCCCGAAATTTTCGATGTCACTTTTAACAACATCTGAGCCTCTCTTCATTTGAATATTTCTTCAGAAATTAAATCCACTGTTTGCTGGACATGACCTTGTATATTCACTCGCAGTCACACATCCAGCACATCTGGCAGCACGCGTTCACTGGAAATGCAGTAATTCATTATCCTGTCGCCATGAATTTTCTCAATTGGGCTTTTGCTATGACAAATAATTTCACAATTTCATTTCAAGCGTCGAATTGAACGGTCGACCCGGAAAAAAGCACTAAGCAAAGGAGCGTAAAGGCCGAATAGAAGCACCCCTTCAACCACCGGACGCCACACTCTGGCGGACGAGTTACAAACGTTCATAAATAAAAACAAAATACATAACGTTCATAAATAAAAACAAAATACATATACATACATATATGCACTTATATGTATACATATATATATATATATATACAAAGACAAGTGGAACAATAACTTGGGGTGTCATTACAAATTTATCGTTTGAAAAGTCGATGTCGCAGTGAAAAACGAAAAATCCAAAAAAAAAAAAATTAAAAAATCGTTGAAAAAAAGCATTTAACTGCATGCAGACTGTTAAGCATAGTGTTTACTCGAAAACTCTTTGGTGTTTTTAAGTTTCGTGCATAATTTTTGTTCAACTTGAATTTGTCGGTTCGGTTGAAGTATTTTTTGTGCAAAGTGAGAAAGTGTATTTTCTGTGTGTGTTTTTGAAGATAAAACTTGCATATTTTTTTGTATTTGTATACTCTACGTATTCGAAGTGATTTTTCTTCTTTCTTTTTTAAAAGTGCTAAATTAAAAGCTTAAACAAAATTTCAATAACAAAACAATAAAAATATAAATTTTTCTTAAATGTTGAAACGCAAGCGTTATAAAAAACATAAACACCATTAAATATATACATACATACACACGTGTACAAATAAACATTGTCTACGCAGTAAAATTGAAAATTCACAAAAAACTTTTTTCCTGCCTCAACGTAACGTGGAGTCTTTTGCCATGAACCTCATACCAAATATGTGCGATAAAATGTTTATATTGATTTTATTTTATTATAACGGTTCATATAATTGGAGTAAAAAGGTTTAAATAAATAGAGAAAAGGCGTATCGAACATTAAGTAGAGAACGTAGTAAAGCCGCAGAGGAAGGACACCAGTGTAGCAGGTGCGTTGAGCTTATTATTCGAATTCAAATAAAATTATAGAAAATAAGTGTAAACTCATTTTTAATATAAAAAACCTAATTTTACTTCATTATACCCCAGTTTTTCAGGGGTTGGGCTTTTTTCACACTCTCTTGCATTCAGGTGTGTGTGCGACCCTTTGTTTCTTTGTTTCAGATTTATTGATTTTTTGGCAGACACATTTTATTTTGTCAGACATGCAATTACAACAAATACATACACTTACTCACACACACATGTATAGTGCGAACATAGAACAAAGAAGCCACTTATGACTACTTTGAAGTTTTGGGGTTATGGTACACGCGCAACAGTCATGGCGTGAAAATTTGGTGCAGCGCCTTTAAGGCATTTCGACCTTCTTCTAGTCTTAGATCAAGTATCCTCTGGGTTGTCAACAAATAAAGGTATGGAGCCTAAAGTGAAAAGGTAAATGGTATGTGGTTGAATATAGAGTTTGGTAGGCACCGCATAAAAAATCTGCTCCCATGAAAAATTACAAAATGAAGTCTTAGTAAAAAATTGGTTCAAAATTACCGCCCGGAAGAAGGCGAGTCCTTGTAAAATCTAAATCAAGGGGAATTCGGTTATGGAAGATTTGTGGTGAGA